TGCTCTCGAGTGATTGTTCACCAGGCAAGAAGTAATGCGTTACGAGACATGACGTTCCTTTGATTATTCCCACGTCATACCATTGCTCTTCTTCAGGAGGACTCTGTTTCACAGTCTGATAGACAGGCATTCCATGATTTCCAGCAGGAGGTTCTGATGGTTCACGCTTGGTACACTGATTGAAATTTTGCTCATTAGCAGCTGCCATTTGTTGTGATGTCTGGGAAGTGCTGGGAATGGGCTGTTCGACCCCTCCACTAGTTTCAGCTAGAGAGGATTGCGGTACTTGGAGCAACAGGTACAGGAGGATCTGCCGGAAGTGATGAAGACTGAAAGAATAAAATTGTGACAAGACGAAACAGACAAAGGCAAAAAAATGATGAAGAATAATCGTTTCACCTGTTCTTGTAACTGCTCTTGATTGCTGGATGATTGTTCTTGCGACACTGAGTTCTGGACTGTAGGATCGTTGACTATGGAGGAGCCTTCATCCTATAATGAATTTTGATAAGTGTGAGAAAAGAAACGACTTGACCCTATGGCATAAAAGGGATCGGATTACAATTTCACTCATCCGAAAACAAAATGGATTAAGCCACACTACATGATTCCCTACTCGCTAACTCATCTCTACCTCCTCCCTTCCTGGCAAAGAACTGCCTAAATATGTTTTGGCGCATACGCCATTCTCTTTCTACCTGAGAAGGTTGCTGTGGTTCCTGAACTTCGCCCGAATTCTTAGCTGAAGGTTCACTAGCATCTGGTGGTGTAGAATCTTGCGTTGGATCCGTAGGCACCATGGGCTGCGATTCGGTCGATCCCGTAGATTCCGACGAGCACTGAGGATCTTGTGGCGCTTCCTTTAGAACACCAAGATTACTCAAACAAATGAAACAGTGGAATAAATGGAGCTGAATTTGTATAAGAACGGACTTGCGACGATGGTCTTTCCAAAGAAAGCTGCGGAGGCTCAGCCTCTGCTGGTAGAGAAGGAGCACTGCTCTCGGCAGTTCGCTGTTTTGGTGGTGGAGAAGGAGGACTGGACTGCTCGTCAGCTGGTAATTCATCGAACAAGTTCTGTGGAAGAGCAGCCTGAATAGTGTATACTCCAAGACTGCTAACAACACTCAAGAAAAACGCAGCTGCTGCGTTGCTTCCCGTAGATCCACACCCACCTCGTCATGGGGACGAGAATTAGAGGGAGCAGTGTATGTTGTACCCTGTGTAGATATACTTGGCTGCTGATGTGGTGCTATAGGAAGCGGAGCAGGCTGGTCAACTCCGGCTCCCAGGGGAGCTGCTCCTCTCGCCAACACAACAGCAGATGTTCCAACCGGGACACCACCTTGTACGTACATTACCCTGTAAATGGAAACCCTAATTACAGGGAATCGCGCGCAAAATGTAATCTAAGTGAAGATAAGAGGGAAAAGCATATCAAGATAGATAAGTCCAAGATAATTAGAAACTGACTTCTGTTGTGTGCCTCCTTTAGAGAAAAATATAGCTTTTGCCTCTGTTCCTGGTTTTACTGCGTTGACTGCAGCCCCCGGTACTCCGGGTACTTGCCCTCATCAACTCTACACATTTGTTGCCCAGGTCCCGCACCACGCACAACCTGGAACAATCGCTAGAAAATCACTATCAGATCAGCCAATTCTTCCATTTCAAAGGCCCAAAAGGACCCTTATACAGAAGATTGACCTTCTAACTTCCTCCAAAGATGCACCATGAGTTCCCTTCAGAAGCAAAAAGCAAAGAAGCCCCGCGCACTTCAGCGAGGCAATCAGCAATAAGCATTTGACGTCAGTCGTCAAAAACGCTATTTATTTAGTAGTGACCGCAAAATTAATCGCGACAAGCAGCTCTCCATTTAGCTTGAGAAGAAAATGAGCAGCAAAACAACACTCACCTTCATGACACCTGTCGGCGTTCCTCTCTGCATCATCATCTTTTGCGGCGGTAAAGACGCCTTGCCAAGTGGGGTAAGTTGTCTCGAAACTAAGAAAGAAAGACAATGACATTAATTGTGAGTAAAAATTCGGAACAATTAGGTCATACCATCGTCCTCCAGTATTTTGTGAACAGGCACGTTGGAGTCATACTTATGCAGTTGAAGTAGATATGCTTCGGCAGTTGGGAGAGAACTCCACGATACCTGAAAAACAGAATCTAAATTGTCTGTAAATATGGTGATTCCATGGGAGTTTCCAAAACTTCGAGCACAGCCCCATTAGAAACAAAAAAGACATTTTCAAAAAAGAGTCAGAAAAAGGTATGACGAGAAAAAAAACAACATTTCGCGTAAGTAACACTTCGACAAAAAAAGTTTTGAAAACGACAGAAGACATCTGAGAGGCAGAAGATAATCTAACCTCAAGTCCTGCAACACTGGCTCGCACTAACTGAACGCGAGATGGTGTTCCCGGAACAGATGTCTCCAAATACCACATGTCCTTGCAACACACCTACAAAACATTCTAATCCTTGCAATACACATGTAGTACATTCTAAACTCTTGGATAACACAGATATCCACGGTTTCTTTCGAAGCCACAGATGAATGCAAATTTCAACCCTTCATCGATGGGATGATAGAAATAGGCTGATAATAATCGCAATTGGATGCAGAGTTTGAGACCTAAGTTCTGCCTATTTTTTAGTGAGGTACCGTCATAAGCAGCCACTTTCGCAACGAGAACAAATAATAAGAGTCCATTTTGGCCCGACAAAGAGAGCTTAAGTGCTCTGCTCCGAAAGCGGAAAGACAACGAAATCGGCAGCACATTGCTGTGATGCACACACAAAAGTAAATGATTCCAGACCATGACCCCTTCTAATGATAAAACTATTACAACAGAATGAAAATTGTTCGGGCCCTTGGTCCTGCTTCGAACCTGATAAAATGATTTCGAGGTAGACTACGACAAATTTCATATGAAAAAGCGAAGAAAAATTATAGAAACCTGGTTGTTCCACGCTTTTCGATATCCATCTCTTCCTGACCATATATAAATTCGATCATTGATTACAGCGGAGCAGTGGCCGGCCCTAGCTCTTGGCATATTTTCTAGAAACCAAATAATAGCAGTGAAGTCCAAAATGACAACGGCGAATTGATGATTTGTTACGAACCGTCGAATACGTGTGAGGCACTTTCCCAAACCATTGTGTCAAGGTTAAGACATGAAAGATCATTTGTGCATTTCCATTCCTTCACTTCACCTTCATGATTGTCGTCATGCATTGGAACCTGAACACACAATGAACACGGCATAATTCCAAAACCAATGACTTTCCACTTACCCAACCACCGTAAATGTACATCCTGTGGCCTATTAGATTAGCAGTGTGTAAAGATCGTGGCATTGGAGCTATACCGCCTATCTGTAAACGAAATCATTTCCAATCCGCTAAAGGTAGGGTAGGCCACAACAACTGAGGATAGAACTACAGAACAATATTGCTTTTTGCACACGTTGGCTAACTTCGACTACCAAGAGTCTCAACGGTACGCACATAGTTATAAGCGCAAAAATGTCTAAAATCCACAAAAATACGGGTTTTCGAGATAACAGTAAAAACGCTCGATAAACTCGCAAAAATATTTGAGGTATTGGTGCAGTAAATAAGCCTGAAAGTATTTTCTTCTCAAATGAGACTAGCAGATTTCAAATTTGTTACGCAATGTAAACTGCTATTTCTGGTAAGTTTTCGCTTCGAAGCATTTTAGTTCGCATGTAAATTTTTTGCTCGATAGTTCTACCACAAAGATTTCGTGACAAGCTCAGCTTAACAGTCCCATGAAAAATCTAATCTGCAGTTGAAATCAGTTAATTAATCGGAGGATCATTTTGAAGACTTGTGGCTACTGGAGGCGACGAATAGTAGAAACTTTCTCTCAATCATAGAGCTATGTACGATTTCGAATTGACACAAGCTTCATGTAATATTGACCGGTGGGTAATTTGTTTCGCGCCAGCTTGAACCAAAATTAAGAGCTTGTTGTAGCAAGAATACTTATTTTTACCCATGAAGTGGAGTAATAGTAGTTAAGCCGGTTCGGTGATGAATTTGAAAAAAAATTCATTAGCCACTTCAAATCACAGCCGCAGAGTTTCTGGCGGCGAATGAATACATCAGAGATTCTTAGCTTCGTTGTATGAAGTGCGCTGAGGGTATGGCGAAACTCGAGTTCATAAAATATCTACCTTGAACTTTGAATAAGGCACTGAATCGAAAAGTGCGTTGTGCGACGAATGTCAATCAATTTGAATAAGCACTGAATCGAAAAGTGCGTTGTGCGACGAATGTCAATCAAAGATCGTCACAAAATGTCAAAACCAGTAAGAAAAACTATCAGAACACTAAAAATTAGGATCGAAATGTCCGAGGAAATTCAAGTAGGGATTGGCCAAAATTGAAAAACCTACCACAGGACTATCCCAAGTCATGGAATCAATGTCAAGTATCCAAACATCATTGAGCCGCGATCCGTTCATACCGCCGTATATGATCAGTTGGCGACGAGAGTCTGTTTCAAGCACAACTGCCGTGTGTGACTCTCTAGCCGAAGGACGCATACCGTAGGTCTGTGAAATGATGAAATACAAGATGAAGGAAATGAAAAAGAAATTGAAAAGTGCTCACCACAGGCTGTTCCCACTGGAGTGATCCTACGGGGCCGCGAATGTCTAGTGAAAAGAAGTCGTCCGAGATATGTAGAAGAATTCTGTTTGGGATCAGGCGAATCGTTAGCGAGACCTCCAAACACATAGCACACCTAGATCACTAGTGATTACCGTACATTAGAACCTCACTGATGGTTCCAGAGAAACACCGAACCTGATTGCTTGCTAAAGAGAATGAATGGCCAAGCCGAGGGCAGGGACCGGAGCCTCCAGTACGAGGAGGACGCGGACGCAGTTTTCGCCATTCCCATCGCGCTGCTTGTAATTCGTACAGGTCATTCGTATATCTGAATTGACATGATAGCTAGCGAGATCGGAGAACCAAGAAAACACATACGCGACACATACCGCCCATATTCCACCATTCCTCCGAACGTGAAAATGTGTGTGCCATTGCAAACAATACCGTACGCCGCACATCCACTTGGAATCTCACCTCTGACTGAGGGAACGAACCACTGCTTAGTCGCTGAAGAATATCAGATAGTCTGTGATAACTGGAAAAAGTAAACGTTTTTAACTAGCTTACTGGTGTTAAAAACATGAAGTTCATCAACGATTCCCTCGTTTCCACCACCAAAAACAACCATCAGATCTTTGATGGCAACAGCGCGATGCCCGTGACGTGGTCTGAACATGGTTATCATAGATAGCGAAAGAAAGGACTCATACAGGAATGGAGAGCAAGAGCTTCCAGCTGAACATATCCCTCAATGTGGTAAGGGCATACATGGAGAAATTAGGAGACAGGTGGAAGCTAAAAAGGATATTAGCATTACGACGAAAACTTCGCAATTGTTAGGAGTGCTGAGGAGCCACCGGTTCCGGAAATTTTTCAAATTCAGGTTTTTGGGAAGAATTTCTGGGATGAAAGCTAAAGTGTTAGATTCAGATTTGTGAGTGATTGCATCGAATTTCAAAGTGCTTTTAAAAGGACTACAGTGACACTGATCCGCACTTTGCACTACAGTAATTTAATTTTTTTGGTGATTTCTAATTTCAAAACGTCACATAGTGAAAATTCGATTTCATCGTTACTATTACACACAAGCTCATGTGTATAAAGAAAAGCAACGGCTGATTAGCGTC